TACCATTTCACTACATTATCCCCTTGACTCATTTATTCCTATGTGCTGAAAGCTAACTAGAGAAGGGGCAACCTTACTCAGACCTTTCTGGAAACTGTGCCTGATGCTGGCTCAGGCAGGAATACAGAGTATTGTTGGTTGCAGTATTCTCCACAGGACTTCTTTTTCTTCTCACATATCCAGTTCAAGGAGGACACACAGGAAGATATTCCTCTCAAATTGTCCCCCCAATGAATCATGGTAGGGTGATCTGAGTACCTTATTAATGAAGGCATGCCACCCCTGGACACAGCTGCCAGGAGTTGGTACAGGCAGTGATGGCAAGGAGGGCTGCACCGTGGTGGTGTTGGTACGCTTGCAAATGTAAGGCAGAGCAGTGAGGCATTTCTGGTCACCCCAGTCCTCTGCAGAAGATAGAAAAGATGGTGATGAGCTTTGTCCAAGGGATGCCAGAACACAGTGGCCCTCTCAAGGGAAGAAACTGCTACAGTAACAAATGATGCCAAGATTTTGTATTAAAATTCTGGCAGAGGAAAACCCAAAATCTGAAATTTGGGGTGTTTCCTCTCTTACCCGCTGCATCTGAAAAGCCATGTAGCCTCAAACCACTAAAATAAAATATAAATGAAATGAACTTTACATACATTTCGATATAAATGGGTAATTGCATTCCAATTGTTAAAATGAAAATGGAAAGTAGGGAGAGAAGAAACTATAGTGGTTTAATAGCAAAGAAATACGAACAAAGACAGGAAAAAAGTCTACCACCACAAACACTGTTTCTATAAGCTTGGGTACATTACAGAAAGTTTCTCCATGGTAGATAAGGCTACCAATTCTGGCACTTGGCTAACTGATGTTACAGCTAGAAAAAAGACTACAAGCTTTCTATCATGGGATTGTTGTTGTTTTTTTAAAGAAAATCTGTTTTTTCTTTACATCCTTTGAAACTCCTACCACTTTTTTTATCACATATCTGGAGAGAATATGGTGGAAACTGCAGTTCTGCAAGAACTTCAGAAATGTTCATAACAAAGGAAGCCATTGAAATCCATGTTGAAGCTTTATATAAATCATTCAACATTACCTAGTGGGTGGAATGAATAAAATGAGCTCTGACTCTTAGGGCAACAGTAGAGTTTCATAGAGGAAAACGCAGGACTAGATCCACCTTGATATGGATTCCTTAGGTTGTAAGATGACCTACTGTAATTAAATAAATAGTTGTAGTATGAAGAATAACATAAAATCAAAGTTTACAAAATGAAAGGACACTACAATGGATACATAATAATTACTTAAGAAGTCATATTAATTCTAAAAGTAACAAAAACATTGTCTCTGTAAGGGTTGAAGCTAGTGAGATGAGGGCTCCTAATTCTGGAGGCTAATACTGACATGGATTTAGCATGTTTGAGACACATATGTCTGAACATAGCAATGTCTGTAGCCAAGGCTCTGGCCAAAAATTGCAATGAGAATACATTGCTAACTGCTGTGATGCCTATGATTTTGGCCAGGTTGTTAATGCCCTGGCAAACAGCCACTAGTTCTTTGGGAATCAGTTCCAAATGTTGTTTGGGCCATGCTGTCTTGATTGCTAAAGCACTGACTTTGTGAATATGTTTTAAAAGAATATTGTAATATCTACCACAGAGATGTCATCCCTGTTCCTTGAACTCATCACTCCATGAAACCAAGGAGGTTACTTGAGCAACTACCAGCAGAACCTTCAAAATCTTGGAGATGGTTTACAGGGTAGTAATAGAATGTTGCAACGGAAGGCCCTTTCTCTGCACCTGGTAAAGCTCACTTTGCCTTGATTGCTCATGTTCAGTGCATCTGGGAAGGAGATACCTGCTGCTGGGTCTGTCAGAAATCTGTTGACTGCCCTGAGGCCAAAGATCTTACCAACTTTCTTGGCCAGGAATCTGAAATTACTTTTAAAAAACCTCCTCTTTCTCCTCTCCTCCTCCTCGAAAGCAAAGACCTGCTCTTCCATCATAGGTGCTCATGAGGACAGCCTGCTGGTACATTTAGAAGGAGTTGGACAAGTTGCATTTAATTTTCCTGAGCATCTATGCAGCCAGCTTCTTGGGAGTGAGAAAGCAGCCTTTCATGGCCTTGAGGAATTGAGGGAGCACTGGTATCAAAAAGGAAAATTTGGAGAGGACTGTTCCAGAGATAATACACATAGACTACAGATAGTCCACACAGAACCACAGAGGGGTTCCTGAGGAAAACCTCCATTATGCTCTGTCCCGTTGGCTCCCTCAGCTTTTGAAAGAGCTTTAGGATGACCCCGTTATCTCTGAGGAAGTAGTAGAAGAAATCAATGCTGCTTTCCATGTCACCATAGAAAATGATCCTTGGGCAAATGGGAAGAAGAGTCATCTGAGCTGTGGATAGGAGGTTCTATAACCTGGCCAGGCTGTTGCTTGAAGGGCCAAGCCTTGGGAATGATAACCCCAACTATTCAAAAATTCTCCCAAGGTATCCATGGGCTTTCTGAGGCCATGGCAGCCCACAGAGAAGGATGGAAAAGTGAAGGAAACAGGAAAAGAATTTGAGGAGGAAAACAAGAAAGAAAAAGTTTTACAGGGAGTTCTTGTAGAGGTCCCCAAAACTGGCTGGAAGGCTGCTTTCTTCTGATACTTAGAGGCTACAAATTAAAATGATTTGGTCTTGCAAGCTAAGAATATGCTCAAGCTCTTAGTTGCACTACCTCCACAGGAAATAAGATTCTTCCAAACTTCCTTTAACAAGATGTACTGAAAGAAATAGAATAAGGTACAGAAATCTCAGCAACTGATTTGTTTTCCTTTTAGAATCCAATTTATCTCCCAGGTTCCTAAGAATGAAACTTTCTCAGTCTTTTCCTCATATCCCCTGTATAAATTGGTAAGAGGCTATTCTCTTAACTGATACAGAAGGAACATTTGGATGGTTAATTACCCCCATGGCTTTTCAGTGTTTACATTAATTTGTTAATCAGTTCCTTGCAAGATATGGACCCAATTTCTCCTAAGATAGCTGGAAAAGATTTACCAATCTTACTTTATGCACTTTACACTACTATTTATTCAGACAGTAACCAGTCTTGGGAAAGAATTGAGGACCCTTGCACAATTTTGTATTGATAAAGAGACAAGTCCAGAATGTTGACTGGCAAAATAAACTTAAACTTAACTTCCCAATGATGTTGGATCCTAAAGATTTACTTTGAATCTGCAGCCAGCTAAATATTTCATCACCTTGAAATCTCCTAAACATTAGGGAACCTTCTTGCAAGTTCAATTAATACGCTTCCGTCTGTTTCGCCAGAGAGCAGATTTCCATGGTTCCCTATGAGGAACATACTTGCTTTGCAGCTCAGAGTTGACTGAAATCGTTAACCCATGTTCTACTCTATTGCAAATGTTACAGGAATCTAAATTATGGTCCTTTAAGCATACTTTCCATACCGCTCAGACTAATTCCTTCTTGCTTGCCTATAAAGTGGCAAAATTTTGCAGAACTGCATCTAGAGTACAGAAGTAGATAATGATGCTAGCTAAACTGGTAATCTATTGCTCACTCCAGTTGCAGTATGCAGTCTCTTATTGCTTTGTGTTACTGTCTGTTTATTGCATATTGGTTTATTGCCTGAGCTTTCTCTTCTTGTAAGCTATTTTATCATGCTGGCCATAATGATGAATTCATTCATTCAAGGGGTAGAATATTATAATTGAGTTTCATTATAAATGTCTACATATGAAACACCGACCAGCAGCAGTTCAGGATCTGATGGGTGCCTGTAAGTGTAGAATGTCCTTCCAGAACAAAGAAAGCACTACGTAATGCCATATGTCAACTGGCCAAAGACTCTATAAAAGGACTCAAGAAAGGAAACAATCTCTGTCATTTGAGAATGTCAAGCAATTCCATGAATATCTACTACTAACCTCTGCTTGCTGTCATGTACACACACTTCCTCTCTTTGTTGATAAGCCGTGGTTTACCAGGTGCCCATGAAATGAAGTTCAACAGAGAACTATCAGACCACCTGGAGGAAGTAAATGGCAGAGAGAGAGACTTTCATATTTTAAGCACAGGTCAAGCCAAGAAACAAAAGCATTTCTAGGGAAGTGACAGGTGTTAATGAGAAACACAGAAAAAACTCACCGAAACCGTCCATCATTCTCATAGGTGTTTAATCCAATCCACCAGTGTTGCTCCTGACCCCTTGAAAACTGGTCAAGGATAGTATATATTAGCATCAGAAACATCATCATGAGTAGGAGGGAGAGAGAGAACAAGAGAACTAATCATTTTTCTCCAATGTCAAATTACCTGTCATGATTAAAAGATGCCATCCTGGGTCTCCAACTTTCATTATTCTAGCTTTGGTGAAAACCTTCGATCACCCAGGAAAACTTCCTCAAGTACTATTAAGTAATTGTTGGCATTGCAGCCTCCAATCACAAGGCCACCAATCTCTCTTAATGTTGTTAATTATCGATTACATTTTCAAGAATCAAACAAAACACTTTCATATAACCTTACATATATCACCTTGAGTATTCTTGAGAAAAGGCAGGATAAAATATCAATGTAAGTAGGCCTGCAAATGCACACAAATCTGCCTAGATCTTATACCAAACAGACTCTTGTTTTATCTAGCCCAGTACTGCCTATTTTTATAAAAACAACTTGACCATCACCCCTAAAAAAAACCTATTAGATTTGCCCACTGGTCTGGCTGAAGATGATGGAAGTTCTCACCCAAACCATCTAGTGTGTGCCTGATGTAGAAGGCTAAGTTATAAAGTATAATAGGATCTTTTTATGGCTAAACGTTGCCTGGCACTTCCATCAGGAAAATGATATTAGTACAGTGGTACCTCTAGTTACAAACTTAATCCGTTCCGTGACTCTGATTGCAAGTCGAGTTGGTCGCAAGTCGAGGTAAATTT